AGTGTGAATTAAACATTGTATGATCTGCAAAAGATCTACTCTCACAATGTTTAGATCACTGTCTTAAAGTCTCAAGCTCAGAGAGTTGATGATCAACTAATCTAAGCTTCTTACAGTAATTCTCATAAAGAGACAGTTCTCTTACATTCATTATGCCTTCTCTCATCTCCATGTTTAGAGTGGATTTCAAATATCTCTTTTTAATATAACCATCTCATCTATAATCATCAGCTTCTAGCAGTAGCTGATTAAATTCTGACAGAAAGTCAAAAAGAGCTCTTCTAGTCTGTTGTAGATTGTTGAGCTTTTGCATAGTCTTTTTCTGTCATGTGAAATCACTAAAGAACATGTATGTCTGCTTCAGTAAGCTCTCTACTGTGAAGTTAATTTTATTTTTATTATTCTCAACTTAGAGATAAACTCAAGCTGCTGTCATTTCTTCCAGTCTCAAGTACATATATGAAGCATATTTCTCATTATTATTTAAAGCCTTTTCATTGATCTTAAGCTTTGATTAAAGCTTTAGCTTCCACTGAGAGTAGTGCTTCAGATTAGAACCATCATACTTCTTGCAGTTCAGTAGCTTAGTCCTTTGATCTTCTGACTGCAATAGATGATTGCAAGTTTGATTGAGAGAGAGTTGATGTTGAGGTGTTCAAAGCTTGGCATAAATTAGCTATTTCAGCTTGCTGAGCTGCTATTAAATTCCTGTTCTCATGCTGAACCTGTTTCTACTGTTGAAGAAAGGTTATTCATTGTTGTTCAAAGCTGCTGGGGATATCTCTGCTCATTGCTTTATGTTGATTCATTTATGTATTTATTGTACAAATCTGCTACTTTATCTCATTCAGCTAGATATTTTCAATGTTGCTTGTTTGTTCATTAGCACAATTGCTAACTCAGTCTATTCATATACCAGTACTATCACTGGACTTCAGAATGCAGGATTTAAGACTTTCAACAGTCTATCATATGTCAGCATATTTGCTGAACTTTGTGATATCAGATTAAAACTCCTAGTGGCCTATCAATGAAAGAAGTCAAGCAATTTATAATATAAAGAGTTAAGCTCTAAGAACTAGAGGTTAGTCCTTCTATATAACAAGGACGAATTGCTTGAGAAAGAGAAGAAAAGAATGAGATGAGAACTTGAGCTTAAGTGAGCTCATGTAGCATGATCATATGTGCACGTGCAAATGATGGCTAGGCTGAGTCAGCCAGCCAGAGTGAATCTAGGAGTTCAACCTCTTATAACAATTTATATGAGATAACTTACTGAATTTGAAGCAGAAACTATACAAACATTAATTTGTACTATTGAAAAATATTTATATGAATTAGATTTAGCAATAAAAATTTGATATGATTATTTGACAGCTTTGTTGCATGAGAACAAATTTAATTTATTTTTTATGACTTTGCTCTATAACAGCATATAATCTGTAGATATCTCTATACGATAATCTATATTAATAATCTTCATATAATGATAAAAAAATCTGCAGATATTAATTGATTGATAAATATATTAACAAATAAGCTAGAGATCAAAGATATCAAAGAGCTGTTACAGTTTTTAAATATAAAAATTAAATATCAACAAAATGATAGAATCAAATTATCACTGGGATAGTATATTAATTGTTTGATGCAAGATTTTCATCTGAAAGATGCTGTTACTATTAGTACATCAATAAAAGAAAGACTTTATATTAATAACTTCTTTATTTTTGAAAAAGAATCTGACTTTATAAAGCAACATTATCAATATAATATTGACTGTATATAATATCTTGCTGTTAAATTACATTTTGATATCACTCACATAACATTTCTTCTCATGCAGAAGAATGCTGCTTTTACTCTTAAAATATGAAAAACTCTACTTTATATCATATAATATTTGAAAGAAATAAGCAATATAGATATCTTATCTTATAAAAATTCTGATGATGAACATACTCAGTTTATAAATATATATTTATATTCATTGAATATACAGATTTTGATTGAATAGATTCTCTGAATGATAATTGAAAACTTATATTAGATTTTATTTTCTTGCTGATAGAAGTCTCAATTTCCTGATGATTCTCTAAGCAATCTTGCATCTCTTTGAGCTTTAATGAAGCTGAATATGTAGCACTTAGTGAAGCTGTATATAAGACTACATGAAATTTACAATATGATATTGAATATAAGATTTATTATAAAGAACTCTCTGCAAATTAAGTTGACAATAAAAACTCAATTTATCCTGTCACTGTAACAGCAATTACTATGTGTAGCAAGCATATTGACACTATATTCCACTATTCTTATATACAATTAAATGAGGAAGTGATTTTAATTGACCATGTTTCTATAGAAAATATGATGACTGATGGACTTACACAATCTTTGAGCATAGTGACATTAAGTGTTTTATCAGCTTACTAGATCTTTCACAAGGAAATTAGTTCATTCTAGGAAAAACTTATATGTAGTGTGTTTCAGTTGACATCTAAGATAGAATAGCTAGATTTTGTGTACGCAGGGGATATAATATCTCGCATGTTGATGCGAGGGGGGGTGTTGAGTGTATGTGGCCCGGGCTGCCGCCCCGCCGCACGTGATATAGCGTATATTAGATAGCTAGCTATAATATTATATTGAATATCTGAAGTGATTATATTGATAGTCTATCTCAAAGATGCTATATACTATTGTGCGGTGCGCTAGTCTATAATAGAAAGTCTGGACTTCAACATCTTCTCTTGAACTAGCTACTGTCCTGCTCAAATCAATTATATTTATCTTCTCTTTCAATCTATCTTATCTTTCAATTTCTATATTTATCAAATTCTTTTCTTATTTCACTCATAATCTGGCTAGCTTCTCAAAAGTTCTTCAATATTTGAAGAAATTATTGTAAAGAATGCTTGATTTAATTGATTTACAAGTAGATTCTCTATATATTTATCTTTGCTCTTATCTCTATTCTTAGTCTTATTTCTATTTCTATTTTTCAATATCTCAATGTGTTACTTATTATGCTTCTGTCATTCAGTGCTTGTGAGATTTAAGTTTTTGAATCAGCAGTGTTTGATTATATGCTCTGTATTCTCATAGTAATGATATTAACATTCATTGAATCATTCAGTGATAGCATTTACAGCAGATGAGTTGAGATAAGTTGTAGTAATAGTGGCACAAGTAGTCAACTGATTCATTCAACTTATCAGAATTCAAATTCTGAATAGAGTTCTGCTTGATGACATAGATATCATTCAGCTTTATTTTAACAAATTTCTATTATCAGTCTCTCAGTCCTAGTATGAATAAATCATGATAGATATTTTCAACTCGATTTTCATCTATATATATAAGTTTTATCTTTAAATCTCAAAAAGTTGCAAGATAGACATGAAAATTATTATTTTTGAGCTGTAAGTCTCTTAACTTCTTAGTGATTTGAAGACATTCTTTAGTATGAGATATAGTATAGTGCTGAACAAGATTCTTTCATATAGTTGCTACTAGATAGAAATCTTCATTCAGTAATTTTAGAAAATTGCATATAATTACATTCAAAAATTGAAAAATTCTTGTATAAAGAAGTTCATTTTTCTTATTTCAAAGCTCAATTTTAAGAGAAACTGTGATAGAAGATATTGTTTATTGTTTGTTGAGAATATCTTTTATCTGAATCAAATAAGCATTTGCAAAAATAGAGCTCTTTCATTTAAGATAGTTGACTTCAGTGAGAATGACTGCATACTTTTCTTTCAATTTGATTTTTTTATCTTTGTAAAATTCATCAAGTTTATCTTTGATGAAATTCTTAGTAGTATTTGATAAGAAATCTGAGTTTTTCTCTAGTTTTTATATGAGTCTTTTTATCTGTCTATTCTGTCTTTTCATGTATTTCATCATGTTTCACATCATATTCATATTGCTTTTATTTATATTTATTTTATCTCTTTGATCAGTTTCTCCCTTAGGTTCAGAGATAGATGTATCATATTCATGTTTGTCTCTATTCATGTTGTTGCTTGCAGAGGTATTCAATGATTCTGCAGCTTCTGTTCTTGAAGACATCTGTTTATCTCTTTTTGATTCAATCTTTTTTCTGCAATCAAAGCTTTCAAAACAGTTACTTTTCATCAGATTCTTGCTGTAATTCAGTGATGTAGTCCCCATGAAATGTTTTATACCTCAGATTAAAGAAGAAGAAATAAAATGTGAAAGTAGTGCAGAAGGCTCTTCAAAAAGAAAAATAAGCTATTCAGATCATAATCTATTGAACATCTGAAGTGGTTGTATTGGTAGCCTATCTCAGGGATGCTATATACTACTGTGCGGTGCGCTAGTCCATAATAGGAAGCCTAGGCTCCAACATTTATTAGTAGCTAGCTAGCTTGCTTAGAGTCAACATAATGCAACAAGGCTGATAATGATCCTCTAAGACAACCATCCCACAGTTTGTAATCAGATCACGTGATCAAATGTGTTGTTATAATCCAGACAGACCCCAGCACCACCTCTTCCCTCACCAAGCTTAGTATTTCATTCTATAGCAGTTAGCAATGCAGAGAATCCCTTCTTATGCTCACATTCACTCCCTAACAGTCATAGTTATTGTATGATATTAGTTGTACAATCAAGCAATCAGTCATGTGTTATTACAGATCCACTAACTGTGATATGATTTCTTCTTTATTAATATAATATAATATATGGGAGCCAAACAGAGGTAACTGAGGGATTATTAGCACTCTGTATATTATTATTGCTAATATGTCTTTCTTCTTTCTAAGTATTATGAAATGTCAATTGCACAACATATCAACACTTCTCATATTCTGATCCTCCAAAATCATCAAATGAACCTTCTCACCCCCGTTTATCTCTTATACAGCCCCGAAACTAAGCCCACCAATATTGAATGCAAAGCAACTGTCCATCACAATGGAAAGAAAAATCTCTAATCACAACCTCTGCGCCCACTTCATACGAGTTCAAACGAGGTGAACTGGTACTACTGGCTGTTTAGCATTATCACCATTCAAATAGATAGATAAATTGATAAATACCATAATACCATCTACTTACTTTTCAAAAATGATTTGTCATTTTCACTGTCTCCATCTATACCGATATTTTCTGTACGTCGACTTTTAGCCAGGAGACTGGCACCAAGCAATCCACCTTTGGCAGTGGTAAGGCCTGTCACAGTACCGCCTACGCGCTCAAGGGGTAACTGCGGGGCTGCTAAGGAGGTGGCAGCGAGGCTGAGGAAAATGGCGAAGAGAGTATGGATGTGTTGCATGTTTGGATATTTTTTTATGAGAAGATAGAATGTGGAGATGAAGGCGGGGATGACGGTGAAAGAAAGTGGGTGGAGTTTGTTGATATCAAGGTCTAGGGTCTGGTGGACAACTCCGCATGTGCTAGGACGGATAAGCAGTAGTTTTTTAAGTCTTTGATTGTGTGAATGGTTCATACTGATGGGAGAAGATTGTTAGATGGTGTGGAATGATGTGTATTTATATATAAACGTAAATCCAGAATAGGGGTTAGGAGGCTACAATTTTGCTGTGCCATGTTACTTCCTTCAGTTCCTGGGCAGGATGTTACTCAGGGTACACATAGCAATCTTGTACGATATTACGGCATACTATATATTTTCCGTTTTCGGATTTCTGAGCAGGAAATGCGTCCTACAGTCTCTAAATGGATATTAGATTTCTTTTTTCCCAACTAATTGTTGTTGTACTCTTACAAGTCCTCCCGCCTCCATTTATCCTTGTCAGGGGCGCGTCTAGTTCTGCCCCTGGAATTTGTGCACATGTGGGTTGTGCAGTTATTGTGCAATAAAATGAAGTAGGAAAGCAAAGCCAGCGGTTACGCAGAATTGCCCGGATAATTAAAATCTACGCAAATCTGCAGCACCTACATATTCAGCGACCTCTCCTTATGGTTTACCGGTCCGCTCGCCCCGTCACTTAGAGAACAATAAATCCCAGATGTCTGGAATAGAGGTTCTGAAAAGTCGGCTGCCATCACTGTCTTGCCAAATAAGTTCAAGCCCCAGATATTTTATCCAAAGTTCTTTCGTTATCTTTGGAGTAGATGTCCCTCTAGGGCCAATGTGAACGCTATCAGAGATCCAAAATGAAAAAAAAAAAAAAAAAAAAGGTTTCTAGTATTGAAAATCTAGACTTTAATCATATTTACAATGTTAACACATAGTTGAACATGCGGAGTATGTATATAGGCCAATTGGCCCTCATCCTAGGAGCCAAAGGATGTAAAAGGGTGACAGATCAAAACAGACAGCTGAAGAAGGGTTCCAGAATCAAACATCAAGAAATGAAAAATAGAAAATGGCACCCATTCCGATCAGTGAGCATCGGCGTGGCGCGGCGGAATAAAGAAAGTGGCCAACAAAAATGCTTTATTTATTTGTTAGAATTGATGTTGACAGCTGGGATTGAGACGAAAGAACTTGTAACGACACGTAGGGGTTGCCTACTCTTCCCCAGAACCTGTCGTACACCTCGAACCTCGACCCTATGCTTCCATTTCCGCAACATCAAGAGAACAAATACAGCACTCAATAATTCTCACCACATAGCCACCAAGCAGCCGCTGTACGGAGAGCTACATTCTAAGGTTGATTTCCAACCACAGCCTTGGAATCTGCGAACTTCGACTCTTCTTGAAGGCTTGCCCACATGCCAAATTTTGGATATCTCTCCCCAGGGCTACTAGACGCCGCGACGCTGTTACCCACGAACCTGGCTTCTTCCTTAGGATTGGCTCACATGACAAGTTTCGGGAGGCGCTTGTTCAATTCGACGGTATCTGTGGTGCCCAAGGGTGTCTCGGTGCTTGTTGCAATGACACTCACGAAGAGGATCCAAGTGTGTAAATGACCCGCATAGTATGCCTGGAAAGGATTTGTACGTGTGTAAGCACGGAAAATGTAGTCATTATCGGAGTGTTGGGTGTACCTGTTTTGAAGCACTGTTATGAGGTTTGATGGCAAGGGATTTTGTCCGATTCAGTGGAGGAACAAATGCTCAACGAGGAACATAAATATAGAATGGCTGGTAGCTTTATCGCGCATAACATCATTCCTATTTACCGGTAGCATGCAAACTGTAACCCAAGGTACGTAAGAAGTCTTCCATACCTTCTTCCCGCACCTTTCTGCGTAATTATTGAATGTCGCCCGGATTGGCTGCTCTTGAGTATCATTGCACTACCCGTATTTATTTCAAACCAGTCCAGTGCTTCTTGCAATTTCCGTGAATATAGTGCACGGAGGTCTTCCGTTGATCAATTGAATGGCATGGTTGATAGTATAAGAGAGATAAAACGAATGTCCTGGAATTTAAGGATGATAAAAGTCCATGAAAATGAAAATTGAAGGAAGAAAAAGATATACATGCAATATGCACCCAACACGCTTATGCAGTATGCTCTTATTTGTCACAACAGCACCAGAAACGAATTGCTGTATATCCAGACTTGCATATCTGGGTAACAAGAAAGCCACCGACATTTTTGCGATGCAAACGCTGACTACAGAACCACACCGTACCTATGCAGCATGTGGAGAGCATAGTACGATCGAATTGTAACGGCGAGAAGAGATAAAATGACACAGAAGAAGCACGGAAAAACTCGTAACAGAATCTCCTGTAACGTTGGCATCTTTCCTGCTTTATCAACAGGGAATGTCGTAAATCATCCAGTTGAAAAATGGTGGTGATACTGTGGAAGAGGAAGAACATTGTCTTAATAAGGACACGGAAACGGGGTATAATGCCCCGGGAAGACATATTAAGATATGCCAGGGGTACCTCTGCCAGTGCACTTACTTTGCTCAATATATTCCTCCTGGTCGCTTTGGGGTCACAGCAGGAGCTCTCATTCATAGGTATGCGGCATAAATGTGCCACTGAACGAACCCCACCGCCGTATTGTATGTATAAACGAATATAATTGCGTATATATACCCAACCCCCCCTCTTTATCATGAAAGTTGATATATCCTGGCTGTCTTTCTCCATTGCTTCCATGCCAGCACCAGTACGAGAAGATGGTTTTGTCCGATATGAGAACAAGCGCTTCACCCCGTCAAAGCTATTTCAGTTCGGACCATCGGAGGTCGAAGAGGCAGGGAATGAGACTCTGGCATGTATGACTACCCTTCTCCTCTTCTCTTTTCCCACTTCAGCAGCGTAACAAACCGGGGGGAAGGGGAAGGAAGGGAGCGGAACCGTTCGTCAATGGCGAAACCAATCGCCTTGAACATCAACTAATCAATGAAAACCGTGCAACTTCGAAAAGTCACCAACAGGATCGTCCAGCTTCCGAAGGGGATAGCCAGTCGACTAGATGAATCGATAGAATCTTTCATTGAGCTGGGAAAATACATTTATGGCATTGCCATGTTCCATCAACTGCATTATATTGTCTGAACCGGATCCGCAAGTCCCTTCTACACGGAGAAGTTCTTCCCGGACGTGACGAAGGGTGATATCGACTTTCACAAAAGTGAGTTATGTCGCTCTTTTTGTATCCTACGAAGCACTTTTGGACAGTTTTCGTTTAGATGACGATCATTGCGCAATGCCCCGCAAAAAAAGGAGAAGAAAAAAAGGGAAGAAATGAAAACTGATGCAAAAAGTAACAAAACTGATAGATCACAGCCTCGACCTCCTCCGCCAATCGATACTCTATGCGTCGGAGATGTGTCGATGGCCTACTGGTGGAATCACAGCTACACATACATAGACAAGAACGGCAAGAGCAGTACTTGCAAAAGTTCCCATCGATGAGCAAAGTCGAGAGGGGCGCGTGGCTCGTCTGTGTTCTGGGATGTGGAGACACAGTGTCGTGATTCTGCGGCGATATATGAGTGGGCTGTGACGAAAAAGGCGAACATGGGCGCTAATCGAGAGCTGTTTGATAACGGTATGGACTATCCGTGATGCGGAGTTCGTTTTCATCTTTCTCTTACGCTTTTTCTGTTTATTTTTATTTTCTGTTTGGATGGATTTTTGTTGTTCTTACAATGCAGGAGCGAGAAGGAGGCCGGAGTGATTGGGCCGAGAGATTGAAGTGAGGGTGAGATGCAGCTAACGTAAACCGCCACACAACGCACGCCTCTACAAGCAAGCAACCACCCAAGGAATTCCACCAATTTCTCAACCACCCATGAATTTATTTAATTTAAATTAAAAATATATATCTAGTAGAAGGAATAGATCATATAAAAATGTATAGTTAATCCAAAAATCTAGATGGAAGTCGAATAATGCGGCCACAACGTGATAATTGCGGGGTGGGCGAAGAAGGAATTGACAGCGACGTGGAGGAACTGCTAGAAGAAGTAGGTCGTAGGGAGCTTGCTGATAGGCGTGTAATTGACTGATTACCGGATTGGGAAGGTTGTATAGGGTTGGCCTGGTTAGATTTTTCGCCAGGCCCCTGGCTTCGTACGGCCTTTGTAGGGGATTTGGCTGACCTGGCTGATCTGGCGGCGGCAACGAGATTTTGATCTCTAGAAAGCTTTAACTCTCTAGTAGCTTGCTGAGCAGCTTCCTTATCAGTCTTCTTTCGCTCAGCAGCTAGTTTACGAGCAGCCACGTGAGCAGCAACCTCAGCTTTTTGTCTCTCTCGCTTCTGAGCATTAGCCAGCCTAAGAGCTTGAGTTGCAGCTTGCTTTGCAGCTTTTACGATCACTTTCTCTTGATGTAATATATCCTGTTGAAGCTTGCCTGCTGCTTTTTCAGCAGCCTCACTAATCTTAGCAGCCTCGTCGGTCTCAAGCTGCTGACGTGCTGCCGCAATCCTAGAAGGTGAAAAGAATTGAGCAGCACGCGAATTCTCTTTATCCACAAGACCTAGAGGCTTTCCACGTTGGCGGCGCTTCTTCTCCTTTCGTAAAGCTTCGTATAGAAGCTTATTTTCATGCTGCAAAATCTCTTTTTCAAAAACTAGTCTTTCACTAGCATGAACAATTTTTTGAAACCCAGTAGAGATTCTTCGCCGTTGATTTAACTTCTTAACTGCCCGTCGCAGTCCTCGTATGGTAGTGGGTGTGACTGGCTCTGCTGTGACTGGAGTGCTTGGTCTAGCAAGCTTGCTAAGCACCCGATCTGGTGAGAGAGGATAAATGCCAGTAGCAGCAAATCCAGACTCTATATTTGACTTCGTGACAGCTTGCTTCCAGGCGTTGTGGAATAATAAAAAGAAGTTGCGTTTTTTAATGGATACACCTCCCATTGCTGAGCGTAAGAATAAATCCACCTGCTGAGAGTATGCCTTTGATAAAGGTCCAAAAATACCAACATCCAAAGGCTGCAAGCGATGAGTTGAATGAGGCGGCAGTACAGCAAGGATAATACGATTTTGATCAGCGTAGTTGATGAATTTCATATTGACATGAGAAGAATGGCCGTCAAGGATGAGCAGGCGCCAGGCTCCATTCCTAGCCTTTGTATGAGGATTAAAGACCCGTTGCAGCCAATGTAATCCATATTGATCACTGCTCCAGCCGTTCGGGGAGGCAGCAAAAAAGACCTCATGCTCTTTAGAATCAAAATCTTCTAGCCACGTATCTTGCAAATCCCCGGAGTCTGACTGATATATAAGACCTGGCGGCGTTGACCTTCCACTGGCTGATATGGCGGCTAGCAAAGAGATGAATTCTCTACTCCCATCCTGAATCGTGCCTAGCAAGCTCCCGCTCTTAAGCTGCTGTACAGAGACTATTCGCTTGCTGATTTGCATGACGCCCATAAGAAAGCCCTTCTCATCAAGATTCCACATATTAGATGGTCGAATGTTGAATTTTTTGACCTTTTTGTCTAGCTAAGATGCTCAAGCATTAGCAACCCCTCATTAAATTGCAGGCAATGTAAATAAAAATCAATCAAATACAAGCTGGAAAAAGTGCTGAAAATACTCAGAATTATCAGCTCTCTTGCATTTTTGATCAATTGCTCATAAATATAGGCTTTTGATGCGATCCTTGTGGCGTTGACAAAATCTAGAGATCCAATGCTCGCCAATCGGCTCCTGAAGGATTTCTTCAACTAGATTTTGAAGAATTCAAGGTGTAGGAGGAAAGCCACGGTCCGTAAGACAATTTATATATCGAATAAGCTCTTCCTCTTGAGAGTTCGTAAGTTTCTGTCTATATAGGGAGTCGGCAGTTTCTCGAGACACTGATTTGCCCGTAACGCGTCGCATAAGCGTAGTTCGATGAATTCTGTATTTTTTTGCAACAGTAGTATAATTGCCAGCCTCTTGCGAAAGGAATTCAGCCACTGCGAGCTCTACAGCTTCTTTGGTTGGCATGTTGTAGATGATTGAAGGTGGAAGGTTGGGTTCAAAAATCGGCTTTTTGGGGCGTGCGTTGTGTGGCGGTTTACGTTAATCATTTTGGTTGTTGCTCAAAGCAATAGGTCGTTGATTAGCTGAGTATTGACAATCAGAATGCCATTTCAAACCAACTCTATTTTGACCCAGCTGCAGATATTCGAGTAAGTTTTAGGCGATAACTATCCAGAGCAAGGGTGATGAGCGAAACTGAATATCGAGCCCTTCTAGAGGGCGGGGATACCGGTTCTCCAGCGGTATCGCTTCGAACTCGACTTCAAATACAAAGTCAGCATTGATGATTCAATTCTTTGACATCAAGAAAAGATAGAATTGATGCTAAAGCCATGGTTGAACACAAAAAAGTCGGATGCATAATATACATCAACGTCACAAGTATTTAAGAAGGGAAAAAAGAGATATTCAGCAGATGTATCGATATCAACTTTGGGGTCACCTGAACTAGCATGGAATCTGAAGTGCAAATATCAGAGTTTCTTCCCACCATGTAACATATGCATACAAGTCTGTGTAGAGTTATAATATTCTAGTGCTAGAATGCTACAAGGGTTTTTATTTATTTATGTATTTATTTTTTTGAAATAAAAAGGGAAAAAAACATCTAATGTCCCTCGAGCTCACAACGGCGGACTTATTGCTCATTTGACAAACTCTTCTAGCACGTTGCCAATGCTCAAGAGGCACCAACAGTTACCCACAAAGGCTGCGGGAGGATGCCCACTGGTTTGATCTTTGTGGCATGATGCCCCGTGAATGTGGACATGTTCCTATGAGGAATCTTTGAAGAGTGAGAGCCCTGATGCTGCTTTAGAGGCGGTGGACGATGGTTAATACCAACGTATACTTCCCGACGAGCGGGATTGCCGACTGTAACAGACCAGGTGCGGAGACCATAGTACGAAGCGAGAGCGTGGACAAGCCAACGGCTAGATAATGTTTATTAGTTGACATAACTAAAATTTATCTCAAGAATTAGAGAACAGACGAACCCAAATCTGGCAGCTCGATCCTCTTCAAGGCTTTCGAAGACCATCATCTCGGAATCTTTCTGTTTGGCCCGGGCTATTTCCGGATTACTGGATTTTTCCGACCGCTCCGTGCAGCTACGCACATTATGCATCTGCGCCTTTCTACCCACGAATACGACTTCACCATCATCCGAATCGGAATTCACTACCGCCTTCTGCTTCTGCTTCTGCTGCTCCTTCCCTACGTCCTGTTGAAGCTTCCGTCTTTCTTCATGGGTAAGATGTGGCAGTACAACTTCCGACACCTCGTCTTGCGCCACAGTCTGATTTTCGTGATACTTTCCGACAAATCGTCGAATCTCTTCCTCTAGATCGCGCAACAATCCTCGGGCCGCCCGAGCATGTTTTAATCTCAACCGCAATTCCTTGGTAATTCGGGACCGGAAATCTGAATTATGCCCCTGCTTATTCTTGCGGGTCCCGCCGCTAATTTTGGAGTCCTCCTTGGCCGCAAAGTGAGAGTCCCACAGCGGAGCTAGGTAATATGGAACCGTCCGGCGCTGGTAGGTAGGCTGGACCTGCCAATCGATTGCAGATGGAGGTTGAGCCCAAGGATTATTGATAAGGCGGTCTGGAAAAAATAAATAAATAAATAAACACGAGTTCGTCAACTCCACAACTGAACGGATCGGCTATTGACATGCATAGACCATCATAGACACGGTATGCAAGGGATATAAATGGCAGTGTGCGTCAGAGAGGTTTCTTCCACACAACCGGCGGCTAAGGTCGCAGTTACGCGCCAGTTGGATGGACCTGGGGTTCCTTTTGGGTTTGTATAATTATATAGGTGTCTCTACATACCATTTTCCCAGCGCTGTCTACGACGGCTGCCTTCCTTGCCTTTCAGCAGCGCATCTCGTCTTTTCAGACTGTCACGGCAGAGAGGTTCCCTACGGCGATATGTGGCAGAGGCAACGGGGGCGTTATCCTCGCCATTGGTAGCTGTCTTCCCGCGGATCGGCAAGCTGCTGTGCGCATGGCGCTCGTCATCGAGGGGAATGGTAAGAGACGTGGAGGTTCCAAGCAATCTGGAGGTGGAAGAAGCTCCATCATCATTGGGGAATGCACTGACACCGTGAATAGATTGGGATGTCTGCTGGGACCAGACGGATATGTGCCACACTTGCTGTTGCGTCAGTGTCCCTTCAACATGGAGGGTCGGATGGATAACCATGGCGAGAGGTTTAAGAATGCAGTACGATATTGGTACTGCAGATATAAGCAAGTGAACCACTGGGGAAACTACTTTAGATAAAGAAGACAGAAGTAAGACAGAAGAGAAGATGATCTGTGAAATCTGATCTGAAGATGCATGTCAGCACATTGAACAGATATTCTAATAGAAAACTGTTTCTCTTAGTCAGCTATCAAATTCTAGAACCCCACAAAGGTTGTCAGTATCTTGTGAAGATTTTAAATAGATTGATGTCACTTTGTTACTTTACATACAAGAGTGCAATAGTAGAAATGTTCTGAAATTTTACTATGTTTACACTGATAGTAGCACTCTGCATCTTCATGTTTAAAATGACTGTGATAAACTGTAAAGTCTTTATAATTTGATCAGATAGTATAGAGTTTTTTTAATATGAAATGTAAAAGTTATATCTTTATTAAGACTTTCTTCAGTGAAATCTTTAACTTCATATAATGTTTAAGCAGGTTTTTGATTTAGTAGTTCTTAAAGATTTGTGTGATTTATTCTATATTATGCTGTTTTATATAAGTTAGTATGTATATGCTATTGAGTTTAGATATTATGCTGGTACTTACTATCTATACTGTAGCTGTTTTGACTTCAAAATTTATCTTTTCATTATTAATTACATCTGCATGATCTGAAACTCATCTGATGATCACTTTGCTCTAAGTGATTAATAAGAGTTTATCTTTGCTTTGTCAGATCTTTATGACTTTCAAAAATCATACAAAGATCAGCTGACTAAAAGTATTTGACAGAAATTCAAAAACTCATACTATTTTTAAACTATCTAAATAAGTATAGATATTACTAACATATTTTATCTGAGAAGAGATAATGACTTTCTTTAGACTCTGCAGAGCTTTTATTGTTTCTGTATCAAAGATCTCTGCTTTATTCATTAACAGATTTTCTATAAATACTAAATGATGATTACTATCTCAGTATATAACACATTCTGCATTAGTCATATACTGTGAATGCACTATCACAATATAAATCATCAGTAAAGATCATTAAATTCAGAGAATTATATTATTTCAATTAGTTTTTAAAGTCTTATGCTGTCTGTTTGTGCAGTTTATTTTATATTTAATCTATAAATCTTCTTCTCTAAGAATTTTTATATATAAAGATATGAGTAGAAAGTCATGCACTTCTATCATGTCAGCATGACTGAATACTATATATAGATATGTGATATAAAGCTGAGTAATAGCTACTCTATTGAAGTGTCTTACTAGTGAATGTCTTTTGTTCAGCTTTTTGATTTTTACTGTAAAGATAATATATCAATTGTCTAGTGTCTCTTTTATTGACATGATTTTCTAGCTTATGATGTAAAGTTGAAATGAGTGTGATTTTGCAGACTGATAATATTTTTTGCAAGATATTTTTAACAACTAGATCTAGCTTTCTGACTAGACAATTTATTTAATTAAAGATTTCTCTTCTTTTCTTTATTTATGTGATTTCAGATCATTTGATTTCTACTTTATAGCAGAGTATAGAGAGCACATAGATTTGAACAGATTTTCTAAATAGTTATACTGATATATTTCTTGCTATATTGTTTAGCATTTGTATATCATTAAACATTTATTATTTCTTAGCTGTCATGATCTTCATATGCTTCTTGAAGTAAAGTTTTCTATCTAGTCAGATTTCTAGATATTTTATAAAGTTTTTTACTATATTTACTGTAATAAAATGAATGTTAAATATTGTTTTAAAGTTAATTGAGATATTTAAAAGAATTCTATGCTATGTGAAGTACATTATTTCAGTTTTAACAAAGTTAAAAGTTAGTTCTTCATTGCTGATTTAATTATTTAGCAACTTGAAACTCTTCTGAAGAGTAATAATATTCTCTTTAAAAGTTATTTCAACATTAAGTAGTTCTAAATCATCTACATAGTATGAATATGAACATTGTCTTTATATAGTTTCTAGAAGGAATAGAGGTTGAATAAATAGTATGAATAGAATAAATGAGACTGATGAGTCTTATGAAAGCTCTGCTAGAATATCAAAAAACTCTTTCAAAAGTTTATTCATTCTGATTCTATTTGTGTACTCTGTCATAAAGCTTTTTACTTATCTAATTAAAATTTAATAGTCAGTTTTGTACTTGCAGTCTCTGCAGTAATTTTTTTTTTTTGAGTATAGTATTAAAAATATTTTTGATATTCAGAGTAAGAAGAGAGACTACTATTTCAGAAACTCAGACTTTCTCTATGTTATAAATTATCACTGTTACTAGATCTGAAGAAGTCTGCTCAGAGAGGGCTTCAAAGTACTGAGAGTGAATAATTTTCTCTTATATAGCTGTTCAGATCAGTCTATAGACTATCAGACATTTTAATCTCTTTCTCAACATTAAGAGAAGAGCTATAAATCTGCAGAATTATAAAAGTGATAAATCTTTATTAATTTTAGATAGCACAATTAGCATTACTTCTTAAAAAAAGATTGAATATCAGTTAACTCTAAGATAGACTCTAAACAGTCTTTTCACTGATATCTTAATATTTGATCATATCTTTCGTAGTCTTTCTCTTAACACTTCATTAATTTCTAAAGTAATATTATTTATGTTCAACATAGAATTTTATATCTTATATAAAGTAATAGAAAATAATAATTTGACAAATAATACATTAGATTAATTAATTAAAATATTCTCTCTGCTTATAGTCTTCTGTAAGAATATTTATTGCAGTAGATCTTTTTTCTCTCTAGAGCTTATTTATACTAGCTCAGTCTCTTCATTTACAAGAGAAAAAAAATGAAAAAAGTCAGTTAAATGAGCTTATTTAATTATTTTAAAGATATTTTTTTTCACTGAGATCTCAGCTATCTTATCTCATTACTATTTTCTCTTCACTTCTCTGATGATTCTGACTATATTGTTTTTTACTTCTTATAAAAATTTAGAATTTAGATACTATACTTGATTTAGTATTATCACTGCTTTTTGACAGTTCTCATTTCATTATAACTGATCTATGTCTTGTGTAATGCTCTTCTTAATAAAGGTTTTTAAAAAGCTACTAGTTTATAATATCTTGAGTCAGAGCATTTAGCTGATCTGTACTAAAATACTCTGAAATATTATATAATTTGTTTAATTCTGACTTATAGATCTTCAGTATCTAATTAAAAATCTCCTTATTCATGATATCAAAATAAAAATGATGAGATAATCTATCAGATCTTATATCTCATGAATGATTAATTTTGATGAGAAGAGTTTGATGATTAGAGAAAGGGTAAAGAGATATGTTCATTTGTGTGTTCACTTCTTTAATAACTAATTTCAAATTAGCTCTTACCAGATCTAGTATATTATGCTCATATATAAGAATATCTGAATTCATAATGAGAGTAAAGTTGAAATTTATAATTTATTGAAGAAATAATTCTGCTCACAAATTTGAAAATATCTCTGATTATCACATAAGATATTTGATATTGAGATCATCAGCAAGAAGTAAAGAGAGTACTGAAATAGATCAGAGGAGAAGACAGTTGACATTTTATTCAGAATTCTCTGTATTTAATGGTATATTATATATATTGACTGTCTGAAGCTATAGATCTCAGATCTATATATGCAGTATTTAAATATTCTGATTTTCCACTTAGAGATCTGAAACTACATGAGCATGAATTTGTAAGTAATTGTGTATATAGATGAGAACTTATGACTTTCTATTTTACTTTTTATTTGAGATAAAGTAGTTAAATACTAAGTGCTTTTTAGAAATACATCCGCTCAAATTTCTGTGAATTTAGAGTTTTTATATGAGAAAAATATTAATCTTTTATTTAAATACTAAATTGAGAACTGTCTCATGTGCTGAGTTTTTTTTTATATATAATCAGCATAATTTACAGAAATTATGAAAATCTAAAGTTTCTCTTTATTGAGTAGCTGAAAGATAGATGTTGTTGTATTAGATATTATATTGATTATTGCATAAAATATTAAGTTAAACATCATGTCTAATGCTATATCTGATGCTGTGCTTAATACTGTACTTGATACTGTGTTTAATATTAGTGTGAGATTAAATTTTTATTTAATAGAGTTATTCAATATCAGATCTGCTGATAAATCTTGACTATTATATTTACTATGATTTATCTTAATTAAATACATTCTATTCTATACATTGTAAATATCTCTTAGCTGATTTTTTAAATATTTTTAAATAATTTCATTTATTATTTCTGATCTGATAAGATAGGATAGATTATCTATAATATATGATTTAAAATAGTTAGTGCAGCAATCAAGGCATTCATATACTTTATTCTTTTTATGATAAATTGAATTTTCTTTTATATAATTTTAGAGCTGTATTTTTTATAATGAGAAATGCAAAGACAGTATCTCTTTTAATGAAATTTTCAGCATCTGCTACATTATTATATTTTGATTTTATATGTCTTTCTGATCACTGATCTTTAATATTTATATAGTTTTATTTTTGATAACAGATTTGCTGCTGTTTTTTATGAAAAGTATAATATAAAAGTGACTGTTGAGTTTTTAAAGTGTATTTTTACTCAGTAACTCTGAATAAATTTAATTTTAATTTAAAATATAAATTGTTTTATTATAAATTCTACTGAGAGATGTAGAGTTTTATTATTACAATTACTAATTTTCATAAGCAGTTTAGAAATTAGATAAATGATTCAATGTTCTTTTTTATTTATTTGAATATTAATGAGAGTGACTGCTATATTAATTTTTTTTTTGACTAATAGAGTTTTTATATCTTATAAGCTTCTAGAAATGATAATAATATCTCTGAGAATAACTTAAACTACTGTGATGATTGCTGTCAAAAATCTCAGAAGTTCAATCTTCAACTTTTGAAAAATAGCAATCAAACTTACTTTGCAAGCTAGATGATTTGAAAATAGACATGTAAGAATTTACAGTGTTTTTTCTTCTCAGAAATTATTTATAAACAGAGATTTCTATGATATGATTACTAGTATTTTTACTATATTAGTACTGTCTACAGCTGTCTTTGTATAGATAGATACTTTTACATCAATTGCATCAGTATAATTAGTAGATTTGATTGTGATGAACTACTTAGCTATTTTTAAACTTTTATTATATTAGTTCTTAATTAACATTTTCATAATAACTTCAATATATAGTGTTTTTAATAGATGTTTTATCTTTATGTCATTTAGATCTTCTTCAATTTAATTAAATATATTTACAGCAGCTAGTGCCTCTGCATGAAATTTCTATATTTTAGTTTTATGAGTAGCTAAAAGCTCATTAATCATTGAGTCATGAAAATTGAGTTGTATTGATGTAATATTTATACTCTTTGAGCTGTCTGCTGATGTAGAAGAGTTTGAAGACTTTATGTCATTCAGTTCACATGTGCAGCAGATGATTATGTAAAGGGTTAAGCTCTAAGAACTAGAGGCTAGTCCTCCTATATAACAAGGACGAATTGCTTGAGAAAGGGAAGAAAAGAATGAGACGAGAACTCGAGCTTAAGCAAGCTCGCGTAGCATGATCACGTGCGCACGTGCAAACGATGGCTAGGCTGAGTCAGCCAGCCAGAGCGAATCTAGGGGTTCAACCCCTTATAGATTAAAATGAAAAGATGAAGTCTCTTGAATGATCAGTATATGAGAAAGCAAATATGTGTCAAGACTCAGAACACATTTGATGTTGTTGAGAGATCAGATGCACTGACAGTACTGTGTTGACACATCATCAGACTTGCTGTCTGGGGGAATGGAGAAGAGCTTATAGAGATGTGATCAAGATCAATTAAGATGTTTTCATAGTTTTTTTTTTTTGCCTGTTTGATTTTGCTTTGGTAATCTCTGAGAAATCATTGAGTGGTTCAATCATGTTACAGCTCATTTAGTGGTAAGTCACGTTATCAGCCATCTTTGTATATCGGCTATCTCATACGTTTGACAGCACAGCAACAGCTAAATGAGCCTGAAATAGTCATTGTCTTCCCCTCACGTGTTTTCTTCAAAAAGAAGCTGTTATCTCTCTTCCATATAACAGCTAGGGATTAGAAAGTGCTTTGAAAGAAGCAGAGTGGTAAAGACGCCCAAAATACAAGATTGATAATATTTATGCTATTATCATTTTATACGCATGGACCTCTCTTAAGATGTTCATACTGCATACAGTCGTTCATACATGTCCAAAGGATAACACAATGCTTTATACCTGAACAAGCATCACGATGCAATTACAGCTATGTAACACAATGTAAGTAGTGCGGCTGCCTGGGCAGTCTTACCTTCTCCCATGACAGATATGTATACAGATACAATATGCCATTAGAGTCTTCCCTCAATTAAACTATCTGATAGGGAATTTAAAATGTGAGAACAACGGCAGCAACAGCAAGGACACCGACAATGTTCTGTCCGTGCATGGTAGCGGCACCGGGAAACTCAATAGGGGGAGAAGAGGTTTTAGTGGGGTGTGGAGGTGTGGGGGGAGCACTGGTTGCGGTTCGGTAACCGCCGGTCGGTTTGTCAGTGGGCATAACAGTTGGGTAGTCAGTTGGCTTGCCGGTTGGCTTGTCAGTTGGTTTCTCAGTTGGTTTACCAGTTGGCTTCCCAGTTGAGTTAGTGGTTGGCTTGCCGGTTGGATAGTCGGTTGGACATTCAGTCGGATTGTCAGTTGGCTTGTCAGTTGGCTTGTCAGTTGGCTTGTCAGTTGGCTTGTCGGTAGGCTTGTCGGTCGCCTTGTCAGTTGGCTTGTCAGTTGGCTCAGTGGTTGGTTTGCCAGTTGGGTAGCCGCCATTTGGCTCGTCAGTTGGTTTCTCAGCTGGCTTGTCAGTTGGCTTGTCAGTTGGCTTCTCAGCTGGCTTGTCAGTTGGCTTGTCAGTTGGCTTGTCAGTTGGCTTGTCGGTAGGCTTGTCGGTCGCCTTGTCAGTTGGCTTGCCAGTTGGGTAGCCGCCGGTTGGCTCGTCAGTTGGTTTAGCAGTTGGTACAGTGGTTGGCTTGTCGGTTGGCTTGTAAGTGGGCTTGTCGGTTGGGTAATCTCCATTTGGCTCAGTGGTGTGTTCACCAGTGGACGTTGCGGTGGTGGTGCTATGGTGCGGAGTAAGGTCCTGGTAGGCATCAACGCCCTTCTGGATGGATTTGGAAATACTAGTTGTGAGTTCCTTGATGATTTCTTTATATTCTATAGGGACCTTGGAGTTAACAGCTTCATTTAGAGCATTGGCGGCAGCGAGTTGTTGGTTGAGATTCTCTTTAATCTTGTAGGCGAAGCCAATGTCCTTAAATTCATCCTTCTTAGCGATGATCTCGCCGGTGATTGCCTCGATCTTCTTGGGGAGAGATTCCAAGGGCGTGATAAGGCCAAGAACCTCGAAAGCTGAGAATTTTTTATGGACATTAGCGTTCTCAACGCCTTTGTTGATGTCAGTGACTAAATTATCACCGGCACTGATAATGCCTCCTTCTTGTCCCCTCTTGATGGCGGCGGAGTATGCGCTCGCGCTATAGTCAATACTGTTGAAAATTGCTTGGAACGCTGCGAGATCAAGATTCACGGGAATGGGTTCGGAGACGATACCACCTGCAAGGGTAAGGCCCAAGTTGATGAGGGTGGCCAGCTTCATTATTGAGAACAAATTTATACGACGGCAAAGAGAGTATGTAACGAATGGACAAAGTTTGCGACTGGTCAAACGAATTTTAGAAGTATGCTTTCTTTGTGATAAACGTAAAACAGACACATTTGAAACTAAAATTTTCTGACAGGCTCTCTATATATGGTAGAACCCAATCTCCTATTTCCAAATTGCCACTACTGGCATGGCACCCTCTCTCCGTCATTCGGTGCAACCAAGCATGATGACCAGCAAAAAATATTACAATTCAGTTCCATTCAGGGTCCAGCCGCTGTCAATCTCGGAATATTAGAGGGCGCTGGCAGAGATTGCGGCTGACTCGTTCAAGCACAGTCCCCATGTCAGTTTGTGCTTGACTGGAAATATTTTCTCTCCTTACCCAGATGAAAACCTTCAATGCAGACCTTGTCAGTGGTACTCAGATCTTACTGGGGAAAGACATTGTCATTGTCCAAGTCAAATAGCATTCAAACTGTAAACTCAGTGTTATTATTCAGTTATGCTAGGAGCTCTGTTATTATTGATCCCCCTGCAGCAAGATGTATTCAAATCAGTTTTGATGTGATGGAGTGAAGTAACTTCTCACTGCTACCTCACTGACTCATTAAGGCCAAGTGCACTGTGACATTCATGCATAACAGCAATATTAATCATCATATCACTAATCTTTTGCACAATCAATGTTGACATACAATGCAAATCCATCTCTTAAAATGGGCCATTCATCATGCTCAATTCAACACCAGTGCAGTTACTATCTGGTATAGTGAATAAACAGTCTTCTCCTCTGTTTTGATACTTTTTGCCTGATCAGCTCCACATACGTGAATGAGATAATTATGGATATTAAAACAACATTGAGCTCAACCCACGTCATGAAGTCGTCATTAACTATTAATGTTATTAGCTCTACATAGTGATTGTGCTCCTTGATTGAAATTATTTGCGGGGCAGCAGAGCATTTATAACACAAATTCATCTAATCTCATTTTTCATTCCATTGCCTAACAGTATCTAAAGGAAATTGCGCTTGATTCTCAGCAGTCATCATCAACAATTTGCATCCCATACTAATCTTGTTCCTTTTCCAGCCAGACAAGGCAATCTAAGCAGATAGCCGGCTGAGAGCTGCTGACGACAAATCCTACCTTCACAAGGGTCAATAAATTATCTCCCACCATGTTGGCATGCTTTACAAGGTTTATCAAGCATGGATCTGGGGTGAGGTGGAACAAATTAAGAACTCAAAAGTCTTTGGAAAAGTTCATCAATTGTCCTGTCCTCTTGCCATCAAGTCTTCAACAAATAATACTATACTGACAAGATTAACGCAAAGTCAGTCTCAATATTCCGCTATACTTCCGTCTGGGAATTCGCTTGGGATATGGGCGGGAAATTAGCTAAATATCGGCATACATCGAGCGGAGATTTCATCGAAGAAAAGATTGTTGTGGGCGCGTAAGAGCGAATTAATTGTTATGTTCTCTGTAATAATGAGAGCTTCTCTGCAACAGGCGAAGATATGTAGTCAGCGGTGATGAATGGGCTAGGCCTAAATGGGGCTAGTGAAAGAGAAAAGAGCTTGCACATGAAAAAGAGCAATATAACATCTATACACAGAATAAATGAAAGCAATTAATGAAGATAAAAGAATATTTGATTGTCTAACTTTGCTAACTGGAGCAAAAACCTTCACTAAAAACTCTGTGGGAACAATGATGAAGAAAACTGATATCTTACAGATCTATTAAATCTTCAAAAATATTCTTTTCAATATAACATGATTGATCACTCAAGGATTTTCATCACTTAATTGTTAGGCTCAGCGCCCGATTGAGCCCGACTAGACTCGGCGTCGAATTAGACTCCGCGCCCGATTAGACTCGACGCCGGATTAGGCTCGGCGCCTGATTAGGCCTAACCCTCATCACATGACCAGGTGAGTTGTTATAATCTAGGCAGACTCTAGCACCTTCTTTCATCTCATCAAGTTACAGAATGTCAAGAATGATTACTGCAGATTATGCACAATGATGACAATTATCATGAGTTTGTCACAAAGTTTTTACATCTGATGAGTAAGGCTAAGATTGTCAAGAGGAACTACAAAACTAACTTCAATAATAAACTTTTTTTTGATTTTCAAAGAATAATGATATTGATCAATACAATAATCAATATATATATTGAATTTCAGAAGATCTGTGCTCAAATAGCTCACATTCTTGAAACAATCAATATTACTCAAAAGTTAAAAAGTTTATAAAATAATGAATTTAATATCTTAAAACAAAATATCTTATAAATCTCAAATATTCAGATCTCTATTACTACTCTAAAGTTAATCACTATAGTAAAAAAATTTATAAACTCTTTTTTAGATATTCAGTGCTAATAGTGCAAGAAGAAGAATTATATTATCAAAAACTATTCTATAAAATAAAAGTATCAATAGATAATTATTAAACTTATTGAGAATGATATTATTAAGCTATTAATTGTTAGGCTCAGCGCCCGACTGAGCCCGACTGAGGCCCGGTGCCCGGTTAGACTCGATGTCGGATTAAGCTCGGCGCCCGATTAGGCCAAATATTCTCACATGATCAAATGATCATGCTGGTGGTTATAATCTGAGCAGGCCCCAGCATCTCTTTCATCCCATCAAGCTTAGTATTTCATTATATAGCAGTTAGCAACACAGAGAGTTTCCTTTTTATACAGCTTGCATTCACTTTCTAACATAATACTAAGCTTCATTCTACTTCTTCTACTCAGAATTAAGTAGAATCTACTCAGCAAGAATCTGACAGCACAACATACAACAGCAACTCATCTCATTCTCTCTAGTTATCAGAGAGACCCAGATCAGAATGACCATTCCAGACTTCCAGCTCTCTGAAAAGATCAAGAGGAACTGATAATATATTCTAACTAGATCAATCAATCAATTACAGATCTCATTTGAAGAATTCAGACAGATGATTCATTCAGACAAGAATCATATCTACAAAGAGTTAGCAGCAATCTTTGACAGCATCTTTGATGATGAAAAAATATTGAGAGATACAATTACACATCTGAGAATGAAACAGAACAACATCACTGACCAGACTGCTGTCAAGCAAAGCCAGATTGATGAGCTAATTGCTGAATGTGATGAACTTAGTCACACTCTGATTCACATGACAGTCAGCAATCAAACAGCAAGTCAAGAAGTCACATTCTCTGAGACTATCTGAAGGTTTGTCAAAATTGATGACTCAAAACACCTCACTGATGACAAGAAGTCAAAATTTGAACACTGACTCTCTCAGATAAAGAACAAGCTTCAGAAGAACACTGACCACTACTCTACTAAATGCATGAGAATTACATATATTGAAAACTGAACTGATGAAGATGCAGTACATCACATTGTGCTCTGTATGAAAGAGAATCACTCTGAGTGATATCAGACTGCAGAAGAAATATTTGAGCATCTCAAGTCAATATATGAGAATGCTAACAAGCTGCAAAATGTCAAGAGTGATTATCATAAGCTGATTATGCACAATGAGGATAATTATCATGAATTTGTCACAAAATTCTTACATCTGGCAGGTGAGATCAAGATTGTCAAAGAGGACTACAAGACAGACTTCAATGATAAGCTGTTCTTTGACCTTCAGAGAATGATGACAGTAGTCAATGCAATCATCAATACATATGCTGAGTTTTAGGAGATCTATACTCAGACAGCTCACATTCATCAGACAATCAATGTCACTCAGAAATCAAAGAGCTTGCAGGAAAATGAGTCTAATATCTTCAAGCAAAACATCTCACAGGCCTATGACAGTCAAACTTCTTGTAGCATCTCAGCCACAAAATTCTCTATCATAAAGAAAGCTTTGAGTGCTCATTCAGATATTCAGTGCTACTACTGCAAGAAGAAAGATCATATTGTCAGAAACTTCTCTGTGAAGCAGAAGTTTCAACAGATGATTACTGAGCTTACAGAGAATGACACTTCTGAGCCTTCAGCAGATTCAGAAAAAGAGTGAGTCTGAGAGAAGACTTCATCTCAGATAGTTCAATAATCTATAAGAGGTTTGAGATGAAGGACTTGATTGAGAGAAAGAGCTTTAATGTCTCAATTAAGTTAGCTCATAATGAAATTGCTACTTCTACAAATTCTCTCACTGATACTGAAGCAAATGATGTGAATTTTATTGATATCTGATACACTATAGAATTGATGAGATTCTTCAATAGAAAGTTTCAGAAACTCTCATTCAAATGCTGCATGAAGGAATACAATGATGCTTCTGATGAGGTGATAGACTGCACATTGACTCTAAACCTCTGGATGAATGGCCAGAGATTCCAGAATGTTCCTCTGCTGGTGACAGACCTAGACCAGTACTCTGTCATCCTAGGATGAAAATGGTTGGCAGCACAGGATATATGACTTGATGTTAAAAACCAACATCTGGTTTGGCCAAGTAAATAGTCTATCTCTGAACAGATAGCAGAGTCAATGCTGAAGATAGTGCTCTGATCAATACTGAAGTGTCCAGACCCTAAGTCTGAGTATTAGACAGATGTGAAATGAAGAGAGATCAAACTAAACAAGAAGATCAGACAGAAGTATCAGACTTAGCTCTGCAGATTGAAAGAGACTAGCTCAGTCATGACATCTAAGACAAGGCAGAGACAGATCTGGGAGGAGACAGCATCACAGATGATGAATATGAACTTCATTAAGACTGCTTCTTTTCACAGTTATATGAAGAACAAAAACTCAACAGTCTTCATAATCAGTCTGTATGAAATTGATAAACAGCTTGAGGAGAAGTGAAGTTTAGTGAAAGCTGAGAAAAAGTTTGATGAGAAGCTGATCAGCAACTTATCAGAATGATTGAAAGGTCAGAAGAACTGTTTCTCAAAGAAAGCATCAGATGAATTACCTCCTCTACAGAAGAATGTTGATTTTAAGATAGAGCTTC